TCGGGCAATAATGACAACTATTTTTTATTTATAGGTGATATTATTTGGAAGTTTTTGGGCCTCTTGTAGAATTTTGATTAAATTACCGGTTTGAGTACAAAAAAATATTTTTTAAATGTATACTTACATTGTCTTGCTACCCATATTACAATATTTAGCAAAGTGCTAGTGCTTTCAGTTTGATCTTGTATGCATAGCATTATTATTGGCCCTGTTATTCTACCCAATAGACTGAATAGTAGGGAATTTTATTTAGAATTTTTGCAAAACCCGAGTTATTGGAAGATGTGCCGTTATTACTCACAGCTAGATGGTCTATGCATGATGGCGCTCCACCACATTTCACTGTAACTGTCTAGCAGTATCTGAATCAAACATTCCCTCGTCGATGGATCGGTAGAGGGGATAATGTTCTTGTTAAATGGCCTGTACGTTCACCAGACTTAACACCTTGCGACTATTATCTTTGGGGCACTCTGAAAACAACAGTGCATGATTCCGCATCTAACACTGAACTGAGTTGTGGAGGCATATCCAAAATGCCATAAAAGGTTTACAAAATAACTCTTAAGAACTGCAAAGGGTGTCCTTTAACTTTCTTGGCCGAATTAACCTTTGCTGTAGAAACAATGCTGGTCATTTTGAACAGTTTTTATAATAATTTGTACTAAATTTAATAACCTCAACTTTGTTATTTTTATCTCCAACATTTTTTATTGTATTTGATTGTTTTTACAAATTATTTCAATAAAAATAGGCATGTTGTAAATAATTCTAATTCGTCGTATGTGTGTATCCATATCGAAAAATGAACATGTGGTATATCTTATCGTAATAAACATTCATTAAGAATTGGCACGTACAATGATTTAAAGATCAAAGTGAAATTACAGTTGTTACGGGGAGGTTCTTTTTGGTTTTCACTTCACCGCAGGTTTTCTTTATTTAGCCGAGATATTCCTGAGCCGTAATACATGGTTTCAATAACGAGTAGTTCATCTACAGCTTTTTATTACAACTAATGTGGAATTAACAGTAAAATAATCTCAAAAGATAACAGATGTCAAATTCCAATATTCTAAAACTAACACTGACAACCCTGATCTTTTTTGAAAAGTCTTGAATTTTTATGAGGTCCAGCAAACGCCCCACCATGTAGCTTTCCGGCCGAGCAGGTCGTTTCCAAGGTTGTCTCTTTTAAGGTTTTATTGTTATACAGTCAACTTCCAAAATCAGTGACTGTAAGCACTTTGTTAAGTATTGTAATATGGGTGGCAAGATATTGTAGACATTTAAAAATTATTTTTTTGTATCCAAACCTCACATTTAACCAAAATTCTATAAGAGGTCCAAAAACTTCCAAATAGTATCACCTATCAAATAAAAAATAGTCGTAATTATTGCCCGAAAGAGGAAAAAGTTATGAACGGATATATTCACCACGCATCAATTTCTTAGGAGTTGTGAGTTTTAAAAAACACTGTGTAACACCAAAATGTGTAGATTGAAAGCAAAAGTCCATACCCCAAAAATAATCAAAATTGATTAATATTATTCGAATTATTTACAAAATTCAAAAAATTTTCACGAAGAGCATCTAGTGGCCAAACGAAGCGATTTCGGATATAGGTGAATTAACCTAAATCTGCCTATTTTAAGTCCACGAATTTGTGGTCTTCCGTGGTACACGTTATTCTGGGACACCCTGTATACAGATTCTCCCAAAACTACCTTAAATCACTTTCCAAGATTTAATCTCATCAAAAGTTTAAGATAAACGTTGTAGGGTATTAGGGGCCAATATGTTGATGATGCCCTTGGGTCAAATCCAGGTTTGCTTGAAAATATTAAATAGAACACAATATTTTTTTATGCCAGCAGTTGATAGAGCCCCAATTTGACACCCAATTTATGGGATCTCAAAATTTTCTTCATTTTTCTCTTAATAGTTCGAAAAGATCGAATTATGAAGGAAAATCTTGCAAGCAAAATTTGTATGATTTTCAGTGAAAATATGTCCTGTATGAATTATGGAGAATAATGTTTGAAACATAATTCGTAGGTTTTAGAATGATAAATTCATAAAAAATTTTGTAATTTTGTGATCAGGAAATTTCGATGTGCAGGACTTAGAAGAACCAGCAAAGCATTTTGGTATCATTTATTTTTTTTTTTCATAACAATATTGTATTTTGTGACTCATTCTAATCTGTTGTCTGTTGGTGAAACCCCGCTTTGAGATACACAGCAGACACATCTTATTGTAAATAAAATTGAGCATATAAGGATTTAAACAAAATTGGGAAATTACTACGAATTTCTCTACTCGCAGGAAGATGTACAACACTTTCTTTCCATTATATCCATCCAGCATGACTTCCATTGTTTAATTGCATTAACTATTCTTACATCACTGATACTGATATACATTAAAGTAATACTAGGCCTATGTTTTCACATTCCCAAACTAATTATATCACTTCCCTTGTGTAAATTAGGTTAATTTGCGTTTCGTTGTGTGTTAATAACTTTTTTACGTTGCTATAGCTCAAGTGCAATGTGAGCTGGTGCGTCTCTTCTATAAGCACGTGATAATTTTACAAACAAAATACTGCTGTCGGCCTTGATATTATATAAAACAGTGGGCTATTACCTTCACAGGTACGTCTCAGAAAAATAGTTTTTCTAATAACTCATGCAATAAATTAGGTAAACAGTTTACTTAGACAGTTAAGCGAGCCAAAACTAAAATGTGATCGACAACGACTATTTTTGTTTAAACTGTAGACTGCGCTCAAAGTTTAAACTAAAAAAATGTAATATGTAATAAGTATACGTATGATATGTGTGACTTTGATATGTATACAAGCACACTTAAGTAACTTGTTCTTTATTTTTTTTTAATTTTTAGAAGAAGCATTAAGGCTAGAGCAAAATGTTACTAGTTCACAAGGACCTGTATTTTATTTTTATGCAGTTAAACAAAGTTTCCTGGTTTGATTTAAATCTATCTGTAGGCTAAACATTTATCATCACACTTATATTGTAATAAATCTGATTACTGAAACTGTTGCCTACTTAAGAATCATTGATATTAAATAGCAATTTCTGTCAACTTAATTGGCAATTAAAATAATGTTTATAATAATAAAATTAAAAACCTGTTTAGTTTTCCTGGGTAAATGTGTATTTTAAATTTAAACATCTGCGAAAATTTGAAAAAATACATTTACGGAAAATGGAAATATACAGGGTGTTCCGTATAAGAACCGACACAGGGTAGATGTCCAAAATATTGAAATTTAACCAAACTTACCTATATACAAAGTTGCACCCCTGGACAGTTATTAGCCCCCAAAGTGGGACCCTACATTTCGAAAAAAATTAATATCTCTGCAACACTTTACCGCAGAAGAACCAAATTTGGTACACGATTTAGGTTTATTACTGGTCTTCTTTGACTATGATTTAAAGTTAATTGAAGCACTACAAGGTGTTCATTGGGGATGACTCACCCCTAAAATTGTACGGAACTTTTTTTTCATTGACCGAAAGGAAAAATAATAATATTAATTCACAGCAGAATTTAATTTTAAATATTTTTTATTCGTGTTAAATTTTAAAAAACTTTCAAGAAAAACCGTATTAACAAGATTTAACAGTGTTTATTAGAAAATAATCGAAAATAATAATCAGTAGTAGGCAATGAATTTATCTTTCAAACTTGTGAGTTAGTAATAAAATTATTTTATTTCAACAATTGCCTCTGATTGTTGCTGAAAAAATATCAATTATTATTTTTATTATTTATTTGTTTTTTACTTAATACAATATTCGCTTATTTAAAAACTATCTAGGTATTTGTTTTCTTTTTGTAGAATTAGGAGAGAAGTGAAGTACAATTTATTTGGCCAATTGTCAAACATAAAGCCTACTACTGACTTTTTGATTGTTTTCTAATGAACACTTAAAATCTTGTCAGTTAATACGGTTTTTCTTGAAAACCATGGTTTTTTCAAATTTAACGAATAAAAAAAAATTTAAATTAAATTCTCCTTTGAATTACTATTACTATTTCTCAACTCTGCCAATGAAAAAAAAGTTCAGTACGAATTTAGGTGTGAGTCATTTCCAATGAACACCTTGTAGTGCTTCAATTAACTTTAAATCATAGTCAAAGAAGACCAGTAATAAACCTAAATATTGTATCAAATTTGCTTCTTCTACGGTAAAGTGTTGCAGATATAAATTTTTTTCGAAATTTAGGGTCCCATTTTGGGGGCTAATAACCCCTCAGGCGTGCAACTTTGTGCATAGGTAAATTTGTTTAAATTACAATATTTTGGACACCCCTAGATGCACCTGCCCTGTGTCGGTTTTTATGTGGGACACCCTGTATATAGATTTGACATTATTATAGTAAATATAAATTATAATATTTGTATATTTGACACCTAAACGAAAATATTGAATTATCGCTTAAGAAACGGCAATAACAAGTTCTTGCTTTATTTGCAAAGTTTGCAAAGAAATCAGTGTTGATTCAATGATTAAGAATGCAAACTTAGGCTGCATTTTTTCTTATCTGTGCTGAGGTGAGTCTTTCACATCGCTTATCCATAAAATTATTGTATTTTGATGTTGTGCAAATAATAGGTATGCCAATTGATCAACAAACAATACAATTTACTTATAAGATGTTTGATAAATAAATAATTTTCGATGGAAAACTGTTTATTTTATTAAATTGCAAAAATTAAGGAAATATGTTTCAATTGTATAAAAATCTTTCATTTTTAGAACTAGAATAGCAGCAACTCGAGTAACAATCAGCAAATATCTATTTTTAAAAAAGTTTTTATGAGATATAGTAGAAATTAATATACTACAAAATTTTGTTACCATGAAATTATTTATTTCTCCAATCGCATTATGAAATTAAAGAAATATATTTAAAAATTCTATAAAATTTCTAATAGAATTATGTCTATCTGTTTCAGAAATGGTGTAACCCAAAAATCTTACTTCTACAAGGAGAATAAGAAATTTAGAAAATCTCCCATCATGGAACGAATATTTAAAATCAAAACTAAATCCAATATAGACCCTAGAGACCAATATCCATCAGAAAGAAGGTATTCCGCCTCCATAGTGATAGGACTCAGTGTAGTGTTTCTCCAGTTATTTTTATATTCTGTACTTATGGGAACTCTTATTGTGCATAAACTGACCATGCAAGAGAAAGAATCAGAAATGATTGGGGAAACAACTGGAAACACCGATACTCCCATGACCAACAATGGTCAGGAATCAAACTTGGACAACAGTACTGAGGAAATGGTACTAACTACCGAAAACCCCGTTCAACGACTTTTCGAAAAAGTGGAAAAAGATATAAATGTACATAATGGTCATTATTACATAAATATTCCGGCACTGGTTTGCTCCGGGTGTTTCGTCATGGCGCTTGGCTTTATTTGCAGCTTTGTAACGGGTATTTTAGCTTGGAAGCGATGGTACATCGACCATAACATAACCTTCTTCTTCCTAGCTTCAAGTTTTTCCACTTTAACTTCCGCGATATGTCTGCTACTGTCAGGGTTGATAACTGTGAATATGAATTTCAACTTCAACGAATACGAAAGCAATCCGACTTCACCAGTTACTTTTAGTTTAGCCATGAATATCATTATTCTTTCTTCTATAGGACTAATATGGTCATTTCTGTCGACAAAAGTGTCCTATAGGGGGATGAAAAATGGTTATCCCGATGATGTGGCTGTGTCTAAAGGCGGACGAACGGTTCAAGTTAGCACTGTGACGAAGGGCAGTAAAAACTGTACTACGTTTCCTCCTGATATCATAAATCATTTTCCTGCAGGAGAGAAATTGGCAAAGTACGTTCCTAAGAAGGATAACAGCAATTTACCAAAGGCTGAAAGTAATTTTGAATATCAGCAGAGAGTTGATAAATTTTTGTCAGGTACTCCAGAAAGTCCTGAACAGGTTAAAGTTTAGTTGTAGTGTTTAGTAATTTGAGAAAATGGTTCACATTTATTTGTAACTATTTATAGCTATATGAAGGTATTACTCTACTGAGACAAAGAAGAAAAATGTGTCCAGAATATGACACTTTAATGTGCCATATTCAGAAAAACAATTGTTTTTTGTTAAATTTGTTTCCAAATTTAGAAGTGCTTAGATACTTAATAATTAGTTAAACTAAACTGAGGATTTGATTGTTTAACCTCTGTTGTAAAAAATGCAAATTGTCACTATCCATGAAAATTGTTCATTAAAATTCTTCTGGTGTACAACAAACAACAATGCTGCGAATTATATATTTTTTTTCTGTTTCTATTACAATTTTGAGACCTTCCCATAAATATATTCGCTCAGCTCTTGATGCTGAAGAACTGTCATATTTCGAAGGGACTAAGATATGAACAGGTCTAGTTTAATATTTACTAATTCGGTATATTAATATAATAGTATAATTGATGTAAAAGAACAAGGATTATCCATAAATGTAACCAAAATTAGAAATTAGAATATAATAGTGGATATAACGACTGAATATTTTAGCAATATATTTAATCGAATGATTGAATAAAATGTTCAAGTTCAACCTTGGACAAATTTATATATCTATGTATATTTTAATTATAAATAGATACATTGGACTCTAAGTAGCATATATGTAGATTGACATTGTTTTGTTTTTTTTTTGTAAAAAAATTGTATTAAAATATTTTTCGCATGTTGTATTTTTTTTTATATTAGCTACTGTAGTGTATATCATTTATGTATAATAACTGAAATAATCTATCAAACAAATAAAGAAGGGGAGACTTGATCAAGATGCCATTCAATTTTTTTAGATCACATAATTTGAGAATTATATCCATATCCACAAAACTTGATGGAAACAAACAGAAACGCATACTATCATAATGTTTAGCTAATTTGTTACAAGAATACATTTGTTAGAAATTGCAATGCTTTAAAAGAAGTAATGGAAGGTATCTTCCTACCCATGTAAGTGCAGTTTAGATAGCATACTGCTTATTATGCTTATATTATTATACAGGGTGAGTCAGAAAGAATGGGTCAACACTAAACTGGAGATACTAGACACCAAAATATTATGTTTGAGCTCATCATGCCTTATACGAATGTCGCTGGTTTGAGAAATACAGGGTGTTCACGGTTTCAATTTTATTCTGAAATTTCTCAATAACTGAGAAAGTTTTGATAGCATTACTCTGAAACTTGGTAGTGTTGGGTTTTTTGGTGTGAAAATTACAAATTTGAAGCTTATTTTGATGTTACTTCTAGAGGGCGCTACTTTCACTGTATTATTTAGGTAAATCAGAACATATTTTTTTTATCTGTTGAGCTATATGCTTTAAAAAAGTAATTTATATTGGTGGTGATTTTCTTTCAGGCGCTGATATTGCTATTTCTTTTCTAAGTAGGTTTGTGTCAAATTTTCATGTTCAGCTCAAACATAAAATTTTTGTGTCTAGTATCTCCAGTTTACTGTTGACCCATTCTTTCTAACTCACCCTGTGTATCGATAATTGCTAAATGAAGCATAACTAGTAAACGTAAGGTAAAAAGTAAAAAGGTAAGTAAACAGGACAAAAATCATGTTCAAGTAAAAAAGTATGTAAATAAACCCATTCATTTTTGTATCTAGCAAAATAAAAAATTTTAAATGTTTTCATATTTTCATATTTCATATATATAAGATGACATGGTGCCGTTTCAACCTTACAATTATCTCATTTCATCTGGAATGCAATTTTTTAATACTTTTGCTTTACATTATTATTATCAGTTTTATTAAGGTTTACCATTTATTACGTTTTTCCATGCACATGAGGTTTTAAAACATGGAAACATTCAAGGTATTTTTAAAAATTTTTCCTTCAGTAATCAAACGGTGAATATTTACTCCACTTATGACCGACACATGGCACAAGGCCCATTAAGACCCAGGAGACCTCTTTAAATTTTTTTTCGAAAGCATGATCTAATAATTAAAACATTTGATTTATATAGCAGCCTTTTAGATATACATTGAATTGCTGGGGTTTTGTTAAGGTTACAAGCCAAAAGTTTAATTAAAAAATATTAAATAATCTTCCAAAATCTTCCTTTATCCAGCAGCCTATGGATTACCAAGCTAGAAGTTTAGTATAAAAAAAATATAGATCAGTCTTCAATACACTCCGACAGCTAAAATTCTATTATAATTATTCAGATAAAACTTATACTTATGCAACCAACATTTCTTCATATTTGCAACTTTTTGAGCAATACAATTTTACTGATAAATGTTAGTACAGACCCTTTATAAATTATTACAAGTCACGTGGCCACTAATTTTGTTTTCTTCCACGTTGGAAATTAAATTCTGGTAACATTAAAACAATAAGATCAGGATTACGTGAAGAAAAACATTCCGTTTCACCAGCTGGTGATTGGTGTAATTTTTTATGAGATTCTATTCCACCAATCAGGGGTCACATTATATCGAGCAGTGGTCACAGTCTGTCATTGTTCACAGTAAAAAAATCATTAATATTGGTGATGCCAACATTTGGGCAATTTTTGTTACCAATACCAGCCTTGCAATGTTGGTTGTCTAAGCTAGGTGGTCATGTGACATGTAATTATTTATGAAGGGTCTGTGTATAAATTCAAGCTAAAAATGGTAAACAAAAAAGAGGTTATTTAAAAGGGTTTCATCAATTTGCAATTAATAATAACAAAAATGTAAAATGGAGAGGAAACCTTAGGAAAATTTAGACAGGCTGAACAAGGCAATACAAACACGAGAAATACACGTGGTATACAGTGTGTCCCAGAATATGTCGGCGTTCTTTTGGATTTATATAGGAGACATTAAAATAACATGACAAGTTCTTATAAAAATTTTCCCTAGAGGACCCTCCTACGGAGATACAGGCCCCTAAAGGGCACCCCTGAAAATCAATTTTTTTTAAATAACTTAAAATACTTATTATTTTTTAATACAATGGACAACAGAGGAACCAACAATCCTCAATTCGCAGAGCTAGGGAATGCATAACATTAGAAGGAGCTCATATGTTGAACAGACATACAAAATTTTGTAATAAAAATCAGATTAAACAAAAATAGTCTTTTCTCGAAAATAGTTCATTTTATCGATATCAACTAAGTGCTTTGTTTTAGTTTAAGGTTCAAACTATCTAAAAAATATTATTTTTGTGCCTTTATCGTAAAGGGTGTAAAAAATTGGCATTATTGTTCTGCCGTTAGTCTGTCCCTGGCAAACCAAATAAGCCAAATTGTTTTCATGGGTCAATTTTTAAGGAATCTTATCTGTTCATCTTATTAAAAAAATCAATTTTCAGAGTCCTTTAGGGGCATGTATCTCTATTGGGGGGCCCTTCCACGGAAAATTTTTTATAGGAACTTGTAATGTTATTTTAACATCCCTTGAGTAAATCCGAGAATTGCCCACATATTCTGGGACACCTGGTATATTATATAAAATGGTCCTCTAAGGAGGATATTACGCCCCTTTCCCCAAGTGGCTACAATCCCATTTTTTTGCTGTCTCAAATTGTTAGTTATTTTCATAGATTAACTCACTGCAATTTTTATATGGTATTGTTAAAACTATATGTTTATCGTTAGACAAAAGATAATAATAAATAATTTTGTTGTACATCTGCAGTAAGGTACTTATTAGCCAAAGACACTCCAGAAATATAAAATGAGATATCAAATTGAATTTTACTTTTTAACGACACTTTTTTAATTATCACATCTGTTATAGTCTTTCCGAAGTCAGTTGAACATGGAAAAAACGCCTGGCAATAAAATTTAATGACTTTCATAGGCGTCCCTAAAAAAGTCTTCTGCTAAACGTAAAAAATTATAATTTGTATATAATGTGTACAAAATTTCTATTATAGGTTCATTTGGCCAACAACATATTTTAATTATTTATGCCCACAAACAATTTTATTATATTGATGGTAAACTTTGTTTTGTTCCGTTTCAAAAGGTCTCCAAAATGCCATGTTGTAATAATATTATTTCTCCCTTTCACAATTGTAATATAAATGATTAATAGGTGGCTTTAAAAAAATTAAAATTACCTAAATCACACCAAATTCCGCATTGCTGCACTGCACTGCTGGGCAATTTGTCAACCATTTGTCAAAAGCTGATTTATTGCCCAGTGGACCAATGCAACTGTATTTGCATTTCGTTTGCCCGCGCTTGCATTCTTCAACTGGGTGTATACATTTCTACCACCTCCACGTTTAGTGCGATCAGACCTGTATATGGGTATGGTTAAATAAATATGGGAACAAATTTTTCAAACATTTCAATGCCGAGTTGAATCAGCGACCGAACCTGGTACATACCGTCAACCTTTTAATTCTTCAATTTATATCGGAAATACTATAATAGCCAGAATTTTAGTTTTTCTATACATAATTCCAAGGAATTAAGGAAAAAAAATCTGGTTATGCATATCTGAAATTATTATATTTCATATTAAAAACTAATGTACAACACTGATGTTCCTAATACTAAACTATTTGAAGGCACAATATTTTACATACTAACATAAACATATATTTACATATCTACTAAACACCGTATAAATGGGCATATTTAATCGGTTAGAACACATAGAGTTACATAAGCTTAACTTTATTATAAAATTCAATGCTGCAGTTAGTATAAATTGTTTAGAAAAAGGTCTTCGCTATTTAAAAAATTGTAATAAAACAGTGAAGTAACTACCAATAGTAGTTCGGAGTCTCGGTATTATGAGGCCCCTTTGTGACACATTTGCTGTCTTCCTTAGAAGCTAGTAGACTAAGAGCCAGATAGGAAAATTTTCCTAATCATTTTAGGCACCGTAAGAGTCTATGACTTAAATACTACAATCTAAAAGAAAACATTTGAACACTATTCTCCGTGGCATATGGGTTGTCAGCGGAAAATCAAACTTTCCAGTTTTGGGCCGGGTAAATAAATTAATAGAAATTGACGGCATTTCGACCTATGTCAGATATTAGAAAAATAAGACATAAAAACCTTATGCCGTACAAAAATAACGGTACTGGAAAGAATAAAAAATGTTAATTTTCCGAATATTTTCACTAATGTCAAAATTATCGAAAAATGTATGGCGTGCCTGATTTTAAATAAAGATATTTACTGGAAAGTTATAATTTACTATGCCGTACGAATGCACTGGCTCTAAGAGCTTTTACCCTGACGCATATTTTCTCATTTCAACCCCTATTCCAAAAAATTATTGAAAAAAATACGGCATTAATTTCAGAGTTTTACTTATGCTCTAAAATAATAAAAAATATGTGTCATACAAAATATTTGGCTAAAAAAAATTATTACGTAATTGTGAATGCTCTGAAGTTAACGCCATTTTTCTTTGGGTAAAAATCATTATTTCCTGAACGGAAAAAATTTCGGAAGCAAGTTATTCCATTTTATAGTCTTTATACAAAAGTGCTGTACAAAATCATTGGCACCAGAAAAAAAAAACAATTGGCCGTGAATAAAAAAAATTGATTATCATTTTTGCAATTTGGAAAATCCATTTGACAGCTACTATAGGACTAGATATTTTCAATTTTATTACTGTTTTAAATTATTCAAGGGTTAACAAAATTGTGCATGCCGTCTATTTTAAATTTCAAGGTTTTCCATAATTAGTAGGATTTTCCAAGGCATTTTCACTACATTATGAAATTATATATTCCTGTACGGCATTTACCCCATAACATTAACACCATCAAATGATAATAAAAAATTATATCACCGTACATTTTTGATGCAACATTCATCGAATGTTATAATTTAAAATCTCAATTTTACTATACTCAATAATTAACAATTCCTGTACGGCATTCATTGCAGATTGTGAAGGGAGTAAAGTAATGATGAAAAATTATATTGCCGTTACATTTGCATGGAATATACAACTAATATATGCATAAATTGTATAAACAATAAAATGAAAAGAGATAGTGTTTCGTAAATTCCAAGTAGGTAGACCAATAAAAATGTAAAACTAAATTATGTTAATCAATATTAACTTTTTCAATACAAAAAATTTATAATAATTACCAAAAAATTAAATTGATATTTGAAAGAAGTATTAATAACGTTTATATTTTACTTTTTTCAAAAAAAAAAAAAAAAATTTAGAAAATTATTTTATAAAATAGACTACTAAAATAATGAAATGAAAAGTTAATTAAATCTTGTTGATCTTAATGACATTTGGACTTTTTTTTTTTGGAACTTTGGGGCCTTTTTTCCCTTTAGCGCCATGATATTTATACGGCAATATTTTTTTACTAGTTAATTTTTAATGAACTCGAAAAGGGCACAAATGCCGTACAGGAACTTTTCACGAAAATATTCACCCCTTGAGCGGAAAATTCATTTCCCTACTGTGACCTCATGTGCCATAAAAAATGTACGGCATAATGACCATGTATAGTTTTCTATAGTACTTTCGAAATTTTTAAATTTTAGGGTGCCTCTAATAATTTTCCTTATTCGTAAAAGATGAGGATTGAACAAGAAGGGTTAAAAGCCCTTAGAGCCAGTGCATTTGTATGGCATAGTAAAATATAACTTTCAAATAAATCTTTATTTAAAATCAGGCACGCCGTAGTTTTCTATAATTTTTACATTAGTGAAAATATTTGGAAAATGAAAATTTTTTATTCTTTCCAGAACCGTTATTTTTCTACGGCATAAGGTTTTTATGTCTTATTTTTCTAATATCTGTCTTGGGTCGAAATGCCGTCAATTTCTATTTAATTAATTTACCTGGCCCAAAATTGGAAAGTTTTGATTTTCCGCTGACAACCCATGTGCCACGGAGAATTGAGGGCATAGCAAATGTTTTCTTTTAGGTTATAGTATTTGTCATATTCTTACAGTGCCTAAAATGATTAGGAAAATTTTCCTATCCGGCTCTTTAGTCTATAGCAGCTGTCTTTTGTACCTGAAGCCCTTGAGGATTGGTCTTGACTCAGGGCCACAGGTTGTACTACTGAATAAGAAATTTAAAGTCCCTATAATAGATATTGATAAAGTATATATTGCCAATCTTGAAACATGGGTTTGGTTTAACATTTTTACGCATTTAATCAACTTTAATATATTTTGAACAATTTTTCAAACAATATTTAAATATTTCTATACATAATACTACATGTAAATTTGTAGTTTTTTTTTTTTTAATAAAAATAGCACAAATAGACATATGTCCACCATTTTCGGGCAGACAAGAACACTGATTGGCATTTGGTCAATTTAGGTACTTTAAAGAAACATTTTCAATTGAAGATTCATAACTATTTTTTATGTTCATGATTTGTTTTATTTGTTTGGGGCATTTTTAGTACTTTTTTATTTAGTTTTGTATTCTGCTACACTACAAATAAACAAAAATTATTAAACGATTAAAAAAGTTTTGAATGACCTAACAAAGACTAAGTTTCTCAGTGTAAGATATTTCTGCTTCGGCAAAAAGAAGTACAATTCGTACAATATTTGTTGAAATAGAAGACCTCCGCCTTACTTTCTTGAAATTAACCGCATTCAACACCGAGGTAGAAAGACACTGGCTGTGTGGAATTCACCGTACCAGCTTGCAGTGCATTCCGTGTTTTATAGTTATGAAGATGTGTTTCTTCATAAGTACATCGTCCTGTGCATTTTCGGTGTAATGGGTTATTAAAATATAGAGGTGAAAAATAAAAGAAATAAAAACACAATTTAATCCCAAAAATCTACTTTATATGCAGTGTCCCAGAATAACGTGTATAACTGAAGACTACAGATTCGTGGACCCAAAATAGACAGATTTAGATCTATATCCGAAATCGCTTCGTTTGGTCGCTAGATGTCCTCAAAGTTCGTAAAAATTTTTTGAATTTTGAAAATAACTCGAATACGTATTAACCGATTTTGATTATTTTTGAGATGTTAACTTTTGTTTTCGATCTACATATTCTGGTGTAATACAGAGTGTTTTTTAAAACTTACAACTCCCACAAAATTGATGTGTGATGATAATATCCGTTCATAACTTTTCCTCTTTCGGGCAATAATGACAACTATCTTTAATTTGATAGGGGATACCATTTGGAAGTTTTTGGGATTCCTCTAGAATTTTAATTAAATAAAGGGTTTGGGTACAAAATATATTTTTTGAATGGGTATATTATCTTGCCATCCATATTATAATACTTAACAAAGTACTAGTAGGCAGCGATTTTGTAGGTCGACTGTAATTTCAGTTTTTAATTTTAATTTTAATGAGTGTTTACTATGATAAGATATTACTTCATGTTACTTCATTTTTCGATATGGATACACACACATATACGACGAATTAGAGTTATTTACAATACAACGTGCCTAATTTTATTGATAATTAGTAAAAACAATCAACTACAATAAAAAATGCTGAAGATAAAAGTAACAAAGTTGATGTTATTAAATTTAGTATGACTTGTTATAAAAACTCTTCAAAATGACCACTGTTGTTTCTACAGCAAAGGTTAATTCGGCGAAGAAAGTTAAAAAACACCCTTTGTAGTTTTCGAGGGCAATTTTTTAAAACATTTGACAATTTGAATATGCCTCCACAACTCTTCTTCAGTATTAGATGTGGAAACATACACTGTTGTTTTCAGAGTGCCCAAAAAATAATATTTGCAAGGTGTTAAGTCTGGTGAGCGTACAGGTCATTTAACAGGAATATTATCCCCTCTACCGATCCATCGACGAGGAAATCTTTGGTTCAGATACTGCCGGACATTTAAAGTGAAATGTGGTGAAGCTCCATCATTCATAAACCACATGTTAGCTCTGAGAAATAAAGACACACCTTCCAATAACTCGGGTAAAGTGTTTTTATAAATAACTCTAATTCGTCATATGAGTGTGTATCCATATCGAAAATTGAAGTAACAGGTGGTATATCTTATTGTCGTAAACACTCATTAAGAATTGTGTAAGTATTATAATATGGGTGGCACGTTAATGCAGATATTTAAAAAATATTTTTTGTATCTAAACCGCTCATTTAATCAAAATTCTACAAGTGTACCAAAAATTTTCAAATGGTATAACCTATCAGATCAAAGATAATTGGCATTATTGCCCGAAAAAGGAAAAGTTATGAATAGATATTATTACCATACATCAATTTTGTAGTTGTAGGCTTTAAAAAACACTCTGTATAATACTAAAATGTGTAACCATAGATTGAAAGCAACAATCAAATCAAGAAATTCAAAAAAATATTTACGAACTGAGTCTATCTAGCGGCCAAACGAAGCCATTTCAGATATAGGAATTTTGAGTACAGGAATCTGTGGTCTTCGTTGTACACGTTATTCTTGGACACCCTGTATATTTACCTTATATAACTATATTTTAATATTCTGAAAGTAATGCGGAAACTTTCAAGGCATGTCCCTGTCGTGGTAAATTGTTACAGTAGTTCCGATAATAGAACTTTATTGGCTTATTTGGTTCTTGGAATTCTATCTTAACACATATCGTACGGACTGTACATAAAATTAAACCCATTTGGTTTATTTAAAATTTTGAATGACTTAATTTTCTTTATTTTCAGCATGATAATTAACAGTACTAATTATTCATCTATAGTTTTTTTCATTGCAATTACATGACTAACAGCAATTAACAAATTTGTTGTAACAAATGCCATAAAATATAGGGCAATGAAATATTTACATTTTTTAGTTTTATTTCAGGATTCTTATTATTATTCTACTAACTAAAACTTTACAACTATTACACATTTATATTTATAGTTAATCCTAGGTGTTAATAGGTTCTTCCTTAAAATATTTATGATTTAAAGCTTCCAATGCAGTCATCCTTTTATTAGGGTCGAAAGTTAACATACTCTAAAAAATACAGATTTATATGCCAAAAATTCATATTATTATGGATTATTATTATATCCATAAAAAAACTGGTCAAACTTGATTTATAATTTTATTTGAGATGTCAAACTACATTCTATTATCTATTTTTTTTTCTTTTAATAATTAATTCATTGTTTCAGCTCATTTTAATTTTGTATTTTTTATTTTTTATCACGATTGATTGCAGTGATAAAAAAATTTAAAAGGTTTCGTTAAAATTAATATTGTCAAAGATTGTTAGTCTACATTAATATTTTGTTAAAATATTAGATTTAAATAAAAATTGTAGTGTTACCATTATCAAATCTTGGGCAGTTTCACATATATACGGGCAAAACTGGTCAAGTCTTATTTGGTTAATAACGTTAAATGAATTCCATTTAATAGTTGTGCTCTCTTCAGGCCACTCATGTTTCGAAGGTTTTCCCAATAATCTAAAACATCAAATTTATTTGGCACTATTCCAATAAATTTGCTGAATTAAATATTTTGTTGTATATACCTGAATATTTTGCTAAGTTGATCACCTTCCGTAGAACCACAAAATAGTGGCTTTAAGCTATAGAGCTCGACTATGATGCAACCCACAGACCAAATATCTACAGGGGTGGCATAAGTTAATCCGAGCAGAACTTCTGGGGCTCTATACCACAAAGTTACCACCTAAAGTAGTCATAATATAAACAAGCCATTTCTTAAAGTAACCATATTTTTTAAATTATAAAGGAATGTTTTGGTACACATGGAAAAAGAATTTGTGTGATGACTTACCACTGAAGTTAACTTCATTTCAAAGTCATACGTCTTCGCTAAACCAAAATCAGCAAGTTTAACGTGGCCATCGTATGTTACTAATAAGTTTTGGGGTTTCAAATCCCTGTGTATAACCCTGTTACTATGCAAAAAGTCTACACCATTCAAAATATCTCTTGACAATTTCCGAATCTGTAAGGTACTAAAGCCTTTTGGATTTTTTTCAATATATGTAGCTAAATCTTGTTCGACATGTTCAAAAACTAGATACATAATTAATTCTCGTCCAACTTGCTGTCCATGGCATATATCTAATAACTTGACTATATTTGGATGATCGTGACTATTTAATTGTCTTAGTAATGCTATTTCTCTTAATGTACTCATAGGGATACCATCTTCGGTTAGAGGTACACACACTTTTTTTAAAGCTACATCATTGCCAGTTTGTTTATCTTTGGCTTTATATACTGTTCCATACGCACCTGAAACACAAGCGAACAGGTTTATAGGTTATAATAATTATGTGTAATGAATGTTTTACACACCTCTTCCAATTTTGTTCAGGCCTTCATAGAACTTATTTTTGTCTGTCGACATGGAATTGTCTAAATGTGCCATGGCTCTGATATTTAAAATCCTAACCCTTCAAGGCACTAAAATATTAATTACTTGAATATAAGTGTATCAATTTAAAAATAAATTTAAAATAACAACAGTGGGTGGTTAGACTAACAAAGAACATTTAAAAATTAAATCCACAATTTACCCACGCCTTAAGTAAACCCATTATTTAAAGCAGTAAATTTCCGTGAAGCAGTTAAATTCAGTTTATTATTACTTTTAATTTTCCAGACACATTTTAGTCCACCATTTGAAAGTATTTATATTTTGACATTGTCAATTAAATTATTCTCAACTCGTCTCATCCGCCACTATCGTCTTGTATGTCTTGAACCACGTTTTGTATTATTCTCTTTAAGTTTGTTTGTTTTGAATTGCCTTACCTGGATCGCTTAAATACCACATCGAATAGATTTCCATTGAATTGTTATACGAAAGATGTCGACTAAATGGAAGATAAGAACTTAACACTTAAACTAAAAAGAAAACAAACCAAAATGGTAAACCGGTATGTGTTTTAATACCCGGTCTAGGTACAAAATGTAAATGCAACGTGCAAGCAGCAAAATGAAGTAACCGGCAACCGTCGACCATCAGGCGGTCGTATTTGAGAGGGGAGTAGACGAAGCAACAGTTGGCCTTAAAAGACAGGTCCGTCTTCAATGTATTTAAACGACAATTATTTAAATTCATTAAGAAATAAGTTGTATTATTTCATTTAGCAAATAAGTACCTAATCATTTACAAGTGATAATAAGCCCTTAATAGTTGCATAATAACTTTGATAGTTCAAAATAAAAATTAAATATTTAATAATGATCTATATTTACCTAAGTAGGTAGGTACCTACCTATTTTATAATTTTCTTTCTCAAACCTACTTAGAATAATATTTAGACAACATTAGATAGGTGCATTGTAAAGTAGATATAAAGGATGCAAAGTTGAAAAGACAATGTTTTCACACTAGAACTCTTCAGTAGAACTAGGAAGTACATTTTATAAGTAGGTACTGTATAAAATGCTGAACAGTTTTATGAATAACATATAGGTACCTACCTTCAAAATGCAGTTATTACAATGTGTAAGAAAATAAATGTTGCTCTAAGAATAAATATTAAAAACATAGTTAAACTATTTTAGTTTCCAATCATTACACTTTCAAGAGTGATTTAAAAATGCAGTGATTTCAATAGCCAAGAAATAAATATTGCTCTAGGGATAAATATTTAGAAAATAGTTATGTCACTATTTTAAATCATTTCCAAGCATGTAGGTATCTATAACTATATAAATATTTTTTTTTATAACTGTTATTATGTTATTAGTTTTTAATTTCAGTTGAAGATAGTAAAAAATGTAGACTTTTAAACAAATAATTTTAAATTAATTCTTAGTTTTGACACAACTTTGTTGATCAGTGGATAGAGATATGCGTAGGTGTAATTTTAATTATAGAATATATAGTCGTTGAACAAATATTTTTAAACTTTTGTAGAAAACCGCATCATGGATATAAAACTTGTAAAACTAAAAAAGTAAAATCTTAATTCACTTTAAATGTTTTCTTAACGTTTATGGTGACAAATATTGTGTTGATTTAATTTTATTATTTGATAATGAGTAATGAGTAGACTGTTTTTAATAATAAAGAGGTAAGAGGTAAGGACACAGGTAAACACCTGCATTGAAATATTTAGGTACACAATAAATTAATGGAATACAAGAATTTAGTACCTTTTTCGTTTTGTACCTAAATAATTAGAAATGTAAAATAAGTAAAAGAAAGTGAATAGATGAGTTACGCCTACCGCTGCTAAATTCTTTGTAACTTTACGCTGAGCAAAATGCTATAACCAGTTTCTAAACTATTTATTTCTTTCTTTGTCTCTGGCTCCTTCTAGGGCAAGAGCCCTTAGGTCCCTAGTCGTCTGTTACACAAAGACCCAGGGCCGACTTATGGCGGCTTTTAATTTTCTTATTTAATAGACATTCCCGCATTATCAGGAAGCCCTGGTCATTTGCATCCACGTAGGTACAGAAATGAAAATGCTTTATTCTACATTTACCCAAATAGCATGTTACACCTTAAACATGTCGAAACGTCATTTAATTAATATTCTGCCCCCGTTGTCTCCTTTTGCCATTCTACACAGGAAAAAAGGGTAGGCATCAAATTTTAAAGGAATATATAAAAACAACTGACAGTTGCATTTCCAAGATATAAGTCAACTGCAGGTTTCCGAGAACTATCCTGTGATATAGACAAGGGTAAAATCAAAAATTAAAATTACACAGCCAAATGTATTATACAAATCAGTATAACTGTAAAAAGATTACTGCTTATTTGAATGCATTTCATCCTTTGTTAAGTAAGAGTAGGTTTCGTTTCAACATGGAAGTAATCATTAAGACAACTAAATAGCTACTGTACCATGCATGACAAGTTATTTATACAGAGTGTTTCAAAAACATCACCCAAAAATGAGACAAACATCCTGTCATTATTTCTCTAGTTTTGTTTTGAGATACAAGGTGTTCAAGTTTAGTTTTTTCGTTTTTTTTTTAGAAAGCAACTTACTAGCTTGAATGAAGTATGGATGATAAACGTTTTCATCGTTTTTTGTTATTGTTTAAGACAAATATAAACAATAGATCATTTTCAAAGTAAGCTCGTCTTTAATATCATCTACTATTGTGGGGGGCGTTTATATGCGCAATTTTTTGTCCAGCAGTTTAAAAAATTTAAGTAAGTTAGAAACAATATCTTTTCCCTGTACCAGTTATATAAGTTTTCTTCAGGATATAAGGTCACTGACAATATATGTTCAAAATAAGGAAAAAATCATATTTTTACATCGTATGTTTATTTCACGTTTCCTGAACTTTGGACGCGTTGAACATACAGAAAATCGTGTTTATAGGTAGTTGCTTTAGTTTAGCGTTGCTTACTGGTTTTTACTTTATTTTTTAGGAACCTCATTTATTTTAGAGCAAAAAGGCTCCCTTGCTCATTTGAAGACTTTTAAAAGTCATACTAATGTATCTATGAAACCATTACCTAATGAAAAATAGCATGCGCTGTCACTATGGACCAATTATAACCTACGTATCATAAATGTATTGACTCAAATTTAAACGATTTCCAATGAAAATTTAGAAATTATCAATAAAAATCATATTTTTTTTCGACACCCTCTGTATTTCGGAAGCGAAGCTACGTTTATAGGAATTTTTTCCTATTTTTGGATGTAGAATCTGCTCTAGAATTCTCTGAACATTTTGCAACACCCTGTATAACTTTTATGCACATAAGTGTCTCCATAACTGTCCATCAAAATGAAAAAATGTTAATGGCGCATATATTTTTTACAAATCTACTTTAGTTCCAAATTGCACGTATGTTCCTTCATATACATACAATGTCTTAGGGAACAAGGGTCATACTTCAACGGTGGCTTTCTTGAATGGAAATGAACCGATTTAAATGAAGTACCTTAGCACAACTTTGCTTCCTTGAAATGTTGCAGGCTTTCAAATAATTTTTTTTATTAAATTTTTTGAAGGTTACTACTTATTTTGAATTAACTCCTAAATAAAGCAGCTAGTAATCCTAACCGAACCGGATATTCCAGGCAGGCAGCTTGTTTTTTTTTTTGACATTTATAGGTGTGATTAAACCGGGAAAAGATATGAGTACCGGAACTGTGTGATAGGAACGTTAATTAAAACACATATAATTAGTATTTAAAAGGTTTATTTTTAAGTGCTTTCGCAAAAATAAATTTAATTTAAACGTGAAATGTGAATGATTTGCTGCAAAGGAGGCAACACCTCACATGCATTTTAATGCAATATGAATTCTCATTGTCTTACTTTGGAAAGCGTAACAATCTAATAGCTGGCCGTGTTTAATTTCTGAAGTATTCACAAACAATACCCCGGAGTTCGTATTGCATTTTTGCACTGCCTACTTTGCAGTTTCCGTTGAATTTTATAACTATTGAAATGTATTGTTTTGTGTCCGCAATAAAATCTTTTGTAGGTACTGCTATTATTATGTATTGAGAATTAAGTTGATTTATGTCCATATTTTTATGACCACAATGCAGTACTCAGTACTGCAAGCTCTACGCTGAACTAATTATATGTAGACTGATTATTTATTGATTTTATGCTCATTACCCATATAGCAGGGAGACATCCTAAGGACGTTTTTAAAATGTATATTAATAGATATTAGGACGTACAGCTGAGGTCAGTTTAAGAACGTTGGACGTAAATGGACTTCCTTGAGGCGTCCGTTTTCTTGGATAACCCTCCTAAGGAAATCCAAACCATCAATGTCTCTGAAGTTTTCAATATATACAGTGGACATCTTTCCTAATAAATATCACTGGGATATACATCAATGGTATGAATGGACATGTACGTACAGTGGATATGAAAAAAATATATACAGGGTGGCCAAATGAAAACGAAACAGCGCCATTTTCAGGAACTGTGTCAAGATTGTAGAATAACGCTCAGACCCGTCGATTTTAGATTAAAGGGGGACATTTTTTGCTGGTATTTTTGACTCCGCCACTTTCACCCACAAGGAAGCGTAAGCATCACCCAAAATATTTAAATGGCATTGGGGGTTGAGTAATATTTCTTTTGAAAGTTCTTACAATTCTCTTTACAACAGACTTTAAATTTTATAATTCCGCCCAATACTTTGAAAAAATTTACATTTTACAATTTAAATTATGTTTAGTTGCTTACTTACTACTTAGTTGATTAAATGTTCAAACTGATGACCGCCCACTTCCATACAAGAATAAAGATTTTATTCGAATCGTTCGCGCACATTCCGAAGCATTTCCGGAGTGATTCGACGGCATTCGTCGACGATTCTTTGACGCAAGTCTTCCAGCGACGCTGGCTGTGTTTTATAGATTTTACTTTTTAGGTATCCCCACAAAAAGAAATCAAGGGGCGATAAATCCGGTGATCGTGGATGCTACTCAATGCTCAGCAATTCAATTCCGTAGAAAACGTTGGTCCAAATACTGACGGACGATCATCATATTCTGGAACATTTTCAATAATATCAGTCAAGGCAGGGTCAATAGCGTCTTCCAGTAATTGCAAATACATTTGGCCAATGAAATTACCAGGTAGAAAAAAAGGACCCACCAGCCGGTCACCGAAAATTCCAGCCCATATATTTAATTTTTCCGGTTGATGTGTATGCATCTCGTGAAAAACTCTTGGGTTTGAATCGGACTAATAGCGGCAACGTCCCGTGGATCGTTACCTGCTCGCTCACTCATTATTTCGCAAAATTGCAAACGGCGGTCATAATCATCCTCATGAAGTTCCTGGACTAAATGTATTTTGTATGGATGGAATTTATTCTTCTTCAAAATGGTTTGTATGCTAGTTCGATTGATCCCAGATATAGATGCCAACTGCCTCGTACTTAATGTAGGATCAAGATGAACTTGTCCCAAAAATGCAACTTCACTAGCTTCATTAACTATAGGTTTTTTAATTTCTCGTTTTTTATTGGCTACGTTCCCTGCCTTTTGAAATTTTTTT